AGTTACTTTGCTGAGTAACTAATTACTTTTACAATGTGGTAACTGAGTTACTAACTCAATTACTTTTTGGGAGAAGTAATTTGTAACTATAACTAATTACTTTTTTAAAGTAAGATGCCCAACACTGCTTATAGGATGCACATACAAATACAAGTTTACTATCCTACATTATCACCATGAGAAACACCTGATAGTAAAGTTCAAAGGTTAAAAAACACGTCAGGCAATAAACGAGCTAACTCTCTGCTCAGCACTGTGTATTCTACTCTATTCTACTCTACTCTACTCTACTCTAGAGCTACAAGCAACACTGGGAATAAATAATAAAAGTCCATACATTATCCATAAAAACACACAAGTTAAGTTAACACAAACAGCCAGGTTTCAGATCTCATAGTTTAGATAGTTCCTGCTGACCTGCTCATGAGCAAGTTAATGTAGCTGCACCAGCTGTGGTTCCACCAGCACTGCAGCTTCCATAGAGGTCACTCTTTTCTTACAGAAATGAATGGGAAGTGGAATAGGACTGATCAGTGTCCTAGGTATTGATGGACGAGTATGCTTGCTAATTATAGCAGAGACAATGACATATAATATGTGACCATAACATGTATCACAATACAACAATAAGATCTAATGCAGTACACTGGTCACTCACTCATTAGTGTTTCATCCTGATAAATCTGTTTATATACTGTATTTATCTGCAGATGTGCTGGTTAGCTGGATGATGTTGATTTTGCTGCCGTATATATGTTCTGAACGGGACATTTTACAGCTAGAAAAATAAATGTAATGGTGACGCTGTTTCCTCCGTTACCTCAGACAAACGGTCTCTTCTGCATTTCTTGTTACTTATCAGTGATAGTCTGCCAATAATGCTTGAAGTCAGGCTCTAATAACCTCAGCTGTACGTACTGCGCTGCCTGCTGAAGCAATGGGAGGATGAGGCCTAAAAAGTTAGAGAAGTTAGTTTTTAGTCAAAAAAAAAGTCAAACAACAACAAACAACAAGCTCAGCAAAAACCCTCTGTGGATAATTAACGGCTAATAATATCCAAAGTCGGAGCACCACCTATCACTTCAAACACTGAGAGGCTTTCATACAGTATCTGTAGTTGGATTCTGAGAAGAAGAACCGAGTAAAAGAGGAGAGGAAAATAGGCAAAACAAAGGGAAAGAAGGCAAGCTGGGTAGAAGAATACAAAGAGATGAAAAGGGATCAGTGACAGAAGAAAAATAGCGGGTACACAGAGGAGAAAGGAGAGAGCTGAGAGAGGGAGAGAAACAAAGTGAAAGAGAGCGAGCAGCACTCTTGAGCACTGCTCACACCATGTAAGGCTTTATTCAGAAACAATGAAACAAGCCTTGAGAGCAATATCTCTGAGTGTCACATTCTCGCCGTCTCCATGGTTTTAGTATTTCCTGCTTGGCTGTAACTGACTGCTGTTGAGATGAAGGCAGATGCTTGCGTAGGCTGAGCTGTTTGTGGGGAACCGAGGATTAAAAGGGCATTGAAGCGGTGTGAACACAAGCCAATCAATCTCTGCTGTTGAATGCAGACTTGGTTGTGCCTCTGGTTCATAAATCTTACTGTACCTTTGCTGTTTTGTTTGTACGCTGAGGTGTGTCATGTTTTTGAAAATATGCTTGTATGGCTTGCACTGATCCTGCAAACTTTCTTACTATAAATTATCTGGAGGTTTAAATGTAAAGAGCTTTAAAGAGCTTTAAAGAGCTGAAATGAAAGCCAATTTAAAAAACAAACTGAAGAAAGCTTCCAAAAAGTCTATTTCTGTCTGTTCTTCCTGCAGCTGGTGAAACTTATGAAACTATAAATGGGCAGAATAAGATGGAAGGGCAGCAGGAAATTGATTGATAAGCGACTTAAGGTCCAACTGTGTCTAACAGAGCAGGCGTGATGTGTCCTGCAAGACTAAACCTGTTCTGTGTTAATCTACAAGTGGACGTGCAGTGCAAATAAAACCTGTCTGCAGAGACGAGCAAGAGGCAGTTTAGCTGACTCAACTCCCCACAGTCAAACTCAATCCCAGCTGTTCTAATGAGGAAACTCATTAAAACATTATTTCACTAATAACTCAGTCAACATTGCTGTCTTTAAATACTTTGTAAGTGGAATCATAGGAACTCATAAGTAAAGCTGAAATTATTAGTTATCAATCGAAAAATATGCAAAGATTTTGATAATCAATTAACTGCTGAAGTCATTTTTCAATCAAATATCCTCTGTTCAAGCTTCTCAGATGTTAAGTTGTTTTCTGACATTTTATAGACCAAACAGTTAATCAATTAACTGAGAAAATAATCAGCAGATTCATCGATCAAAAGATGCAATAGAGATATGGATGCATTTAAAAAAGGTGTTTGTATTTCCTTGTTAGTATGTTGATTTATGCAGCAAACAACATCACAATCTATAAATAGACTGCCAACGTTACTCATTATCAAGTCCTAACTTTTTTTGATGATATTTTAAAAATGTTTTATACATTACATTTTGGCCATATATTTCGTCAAACTCACCCCCGATAGTTAGGCAGAGACAACAGAGAAGCAGTTTGACACCAGACTGAGGACAGAGATGACGAGAAAACGATGATGAAGCTTGTCGTGTTTTGTCAGAGAGAGATGGAGAGGGGGAGTAGGAGGAGGAGGAGGAGGAGAGTATGTGTGTGTGTTGTTGGCAGATTAGCCTTTAGGATGTAGTGTTGTGCAGAAAGTCAGAGAAGAGATGAGAGAGAGCAGAACATCTGGCTGTGCGAGCGAGCAGGCGTTCCCCGAGGAGAACTGAACTAATCTGATCAAAGAGAGAAGTATGGTGTACACAGACAAGTAAATCATCAACAGTAAAGAATACAGCCCTATATGCTGTGAGGAAACAGATGTGATATTGCAGGTTCGTCTCATGCCTGGATGGATCTAATAAAATCTGGGTTGCAATTGGTGCAAACGTCAGCCTGTACGATGAATACCTGATGAATCCGAGCACTAAGATGTCAACAGATCTGCACCGCAGCTTCATCAGCCAGGGTACTCTGCACGGTTTCATCCTGTGAATATGGTTTTACAGGAGCAGCTATACTGTAAGAATTTGGTCCTAAATGTCTGACATTGTCTGCGTTTTCGATGCAGGCTGTCTTCAGTCACCAAAGCTCTGAATTGGCCAATGGTCTCACAGTGCGATCAAAGACCACTGTTTCTCTCACAACCATCAACTTTAATCTGGTACAGCCTAAAGTCCCACAACAAAAAGTGTCCTTTTGTTTAATGCCAGGGTGTTTTTCACAGGTTATGAGAAGATAAAAAAAAAAAAAATATTGTCCTACAAGGGGTGACATACAGAATAAGCTCTTGCAGGCTGTACAACACAGGAAAGACTTAAAATAAGTACATCCATCATTTAAAAAAACTAACTTTTCTACATATTATTAGTTAGTTTCACTCTGATTTTCACTTCATCAGTCATCACTTTCATTTGAGCGGTAATCTCATCCAAGCATATCTTGCATTTGCATTGTGCTGCATGCTGAGTAAAGCAGAGCAGTAAACGGTTGCCTTTTATACTGCAGTTATACTAAACAATGAAAACTGGGTCTTTCAAACAGACAGTTGACCCAGATAACAGTATATAACTCTGGTCTGTCTGTGAATATTTTTGGTTGATTATTTTCTGTCACGGTGTGTAAAAGTTGCACCGTACAAGAGTTTGTGTTTACAAAGTGCGGATACTGCAGCAGCAGTGGTTGGAAACAAAAGGAACTATTTCCAGTTAAGTTGAAAAGACCAACATATAAAAACAGGGAAAATGCGCATATCATGTGGCTGGGGTGAATGGTGCTGAATTGCCAGTGATTTGGGGTATTAACTGTCTGTGAAAATATTGAGCCGGGGCAGAGTGCTATATTACTGAAAGGTGTGTTAACCTTTAGGGGATATATGGGATTAACCTGTTTGTAAGGATGTGAGAGCTGGAGATTAAACAGCAAAAACCTCAGATGGTACACTATTTAAGGCAATACTGAAGTGTGTCTATTTCTCAGACATGCTGCATTACTTTCTCTTTCTGCATACCTCACATTTTCCCTGGTTCGAATGTTCTCTTTTGCCTAAATTCTCTGCCTTATGACCTATCTTTATTTCTCTGTTGATCTGAGAATGTGTTCAGCTGACTCGTGCTTCCAGCTTTTCTATACAAGTAAACTGGCAGCAGAATGCTTCATTTATCGACTTAAACAAATGGCACTGTGAATGTATTTTTAGCTAGTGTGGCACTGTTGCACAATATAGTTCAACCACCACAATGTTTGTTTCTGCCTTGATTTGGTTCCACTTGACAACAGTTCCGTGAATAATCTCACCACCTGTTCTAAAGCATCTATGAAAACAGAAGAGCCAACGCGTGTCCATATAAAGAAGACAGTGCTACCATACACTGAGCTGACTCACTCCATTATTAATGTACCTTTTAGGCTTTATTCACAGCAGTAATTGACATGAATTACACATACCAGCCTTACAGACAAATTATTGGCAATCACTGTCCTGTTTGATGGTCCCGAATGGCACAGAAACAGTTCAGTATTGTTGCTTCAACTCTGCAGACAGGCTGGGAAAATCTGTGCAATTGAAGTGAATACTACTCCCTGAACTACTACTACTGTGCATTTGAGTAAAACTTTAACTGATCTCCCGAGTGCTGCAGCAGAGCTGTGTGGAAGACAGCTTGTGTAAGCCTGTGGGTGTACTGGGAAGCTCCCAGCTAAGAATGTGTGTTAATGTGTGGATCTGAAAGAGAGCACTGATGAGAAAGAGCAAACATGCTCAGCAAACCTTCCCAGGATTAGCAAATATAATGAAGATCAATCTTGAAAGTCCGGTCAAAGCCAAGGACCGAGAATTACCTTTTTAAAAAAAACATTGCACAGATGATTGCTGGAATAAAAACCCACATACTGATACTGATGAAAAATGGCATCTCACCTCCGTTCAAGGAGCCATTATGGGGTAATACTGTTGTGGTGGCGTCATGGCTGTCTTGCGGCGTAGTCCCATCTGCTTTGGCGACCTCAGGCTCCTGCAGGCTGTCCTCCTCCACAATGTGTAGCTTGTCCTCGTCATCGGAGTCTGAACTGGCCTCCAAGCCATTGTTGAAGTTTGTCACTGCAGAGGAGAGACACAGAGATGGAAGATGATCTAACAAGTACTGCTTAGTGCAAGATTTTAGCAGCTACATGTTATAGCACTCATTCTGATTCGCAGTGCTGAGGAGCCAGCACCCTGTGGCTGTAATCAGAGACTGATTTACATCTGGGATGCAGAATAAAGGCAATTAACTGTAATTACTGACTGCAAAACATGACATCAGTGTGATCCTCATCTGAGCTGCATAGCAATGTGTCTCTATCTATAGGATGGAGTCCGGTCTGATTGCCCCCTTTCATGTGTCTCCTTTATACATTTATGGCGTACAGATGGGTGACAATTTAAAGGGGGGAAAACAACAAACACCTCCTAGTTTCTGGAACCCTCTCCACTGTCCCATCAATTGATTCACATCATTTTCATTCTCATCAAACCATTCAATGACCCGTCGTGTCCTGTATGAAAGCATCTGCATTTGTCATGTCTCTCCACTCATTGACTCAGGTATTTCAACACTATTTGCCGTGCTCGACTTACTCAGCGCTACAAGAACACACAAAGTGGTAAATGGAACAAGAAGTGCAGAATCAAGTTATGTTAATAGTGAAAAAATACTAAAGATGTGTGATCTTACTCTGCAGTTAAAGGTATGCTAAAGGAAGTGGATGATATCTTTTCAACACTGTTTACTGTAAAAGCGTGTCAGTTATGGCAGCTATAATGATGATCTGTATGGTCATTTACCCTGCACCTGTACTCCAAGTGTATACATAACCCTGCTTACCAATGAGAGTGAGGTGGGTCCATGAAAAGCAGAACAGCAGGACCTCACAGCAGCCAAGAAGGCCAGATACCTGAACCTGTTATATACTGCATCAGTTTAAATCACACACAGGCGTTAGCTCTTATTGTACGTCTTTTCATGTTAAAAGTACATAACTGAAGTAAGGAAGGAAAGGAAACTGCAGTCCGATCCAATCACAGAAAAAAGTCTGTCAGGTATAAAAAAAACAACCCCCCTTTGCTACCAGCCACACTTTCTAGTTCTAGTTCAAGGTTTCCACAATAGAGAATAATATGTACATGCTGCTAGACAAAAACTAAAAAATCTGTACGAGCTAGGGAAAAAAAATAATATAATTTAGCGTTATATTCTTACATAACTGCATTCATGCTGATTCTGACATCTCAAAGCCCGATTAACTAGCCAAAACCAAGAGAGTTTCAATGAGCCCGGATAAAGTAAACCAGTAAATCCAGATCCTGTGCCATCATTTGCTCCAAACTTTGCTCCAGACCACAAAACATAATCTGTCTCTGACTCGAGGTACACACAATTTCCTTCTCTTCACGTACGCGGAGAAGACATTAAAAAAGGGGCAAACTGCAGCCATGGGGAAAAATAATCACTTGTATATCAGCCTCAGAAAGAAAATCTATTTTACACAGTGCCACAGTCAGTGAGTTTGTCTGTGGGGTACAGCTTCTTAATGGGAGCTCAGGGTGAAAAATGGACCAACTGGACTGGTCTGAATGAATTTAGTGGGGGGTGTGTGTGTGTTTAGCACATAGGTTGTAGATGTTGGAGACGTGCGTATACAGGGATGTATAGCGTATACTATGCTGTAGGTATTTAATTGCCTTTTCACTGTCAGCATGTGTGCACTTATGACTGTGCAAATGAGTATATATGTATGTGAGTGAACAAAAGTGTGTGTGTGTGTGTGTGTGTGTGTGTGTGTGTGTGTGTGTGTGTGCTCTCCGCGGGGAAGCTCTACGTCTTGGCGGAGGTGTTGAAGACGCCTAATGAGGAGAAAAGCTTGAGTTGTTTGTTCACAGGTGACAGGTGCACGCATGCACGCACACACACACACACACACACACACACACACACACACACACACACACACACACACAGAGGTCCCAAACCACAAAACAAGCTGTGTGTGTGTGTGTGTGTGTGTGTGTGTGTGTGTGTGTGTGTGCAGATCTGCATCTCTGCATGATATGGGAAGCTGCTTCAAGTAAAGCCACACACCCTTGCAGCATGCAGATACTGCAGACTAGATACCACCTACAGCTAAGACACACCCTGAGCACAAACACCTTCTACACGAACCCACACAGACTCCCACTGTACGTCACCCCCTCCGGGAGTGATGCGGTGCTTTCTGGAGACTCTTCTGTCACTGCTCCAGACAGAAGAGGGGAGCTGGGAATGCTAAACTCTGTGTGTTTGTGGGGGGGGGGTTTGAGATCGATGCACGACTGGATCGATGTGAGAGGCAGGAGCATGCAGGAGCTCTGGTCTGTGATTTCATAAAAGCCAGATGTTGGAGAGAAACATGACATGTACATACACTTCATACACTTTCGCTGGCTGCTGATTCAAATCCTCGGACATGTCTGCATGTTAAAGGCCACGGGTAAACCCCAACTCAGTACAGGGATATAGATACAGTATGTGGTATCTCCTAAACAGTGTTACTTTCAGTGATAGCAGGAGTAGGGTAACAAAACAAAACAACAAATGATCACATGTCACATTACACATGTTACATCTTGCCATAGCCTCTAGTTAACTTGGATGTCATCTAGAGTGTGTAACGGCTACCATTTTGTCCTTCACTGTCTTGCAAGACACCTTAAAAGACCATCCTAGTTAAATAAAGACAGAAACGTTGGAGACATAGGCAGATTTGGATTTGCTGCTACCTAATCTGACCCTGAGGCAGACGGCTTCTTACAGTTTGTATAACCTGAAGGCCAGTCGCCTTCTTACTGACACACTACAGTCAGTCGATGGTAAGCTGAGCATCAATATTTGACAACCCGAGTACAACGTGCCCAAAAACCTGAACTGTAACTTGAGCAAAAATCTGTGGTTTGGCCAGATGCAGATCATCAGTTGAGCACTTAATAACAGCTCTGCAGACAGTCAGCCCAAACACACCCCTACAGCAGGCAGCGAGCTCCTAAAAATCAACAAACTGTGTCTCTCTTCATTTAGACAAAAACACACATTATTAACCAGACAGGCTTGTGGCAGTTCCAATAATAGAAAGGTCTATACTTTCAGATAAACAGCCTGTGTCTGTTATGGTGAGTTATTCTTAACAGTCCTGACTGGAGGGAACAGCAACCAGCTGAGCGCCAGATAATAAAGAATACCGGAGAAAGCACTGAATAAAACCTCATACCCGTATTATCTATTTATCTATCTATTCTGTATTTATTCTTTCACTGAATTTGAAGATTTGGTGGAACTAACCTTAATAGTACTGAATAATATCAGATTATTTTTGTTTTTTTGACTTGGATTTGAGGTTTTGCTTGGAGTGCAATTCCTAAACTTTTAAGGGTTTGATTGTAATAGTTCTTACAGAGTTAACCGACTTGAGCAAAATCCCAGAGGATGGTAAAGAAAAAGAGGTCTCTGTTGCTTTAAAATATAGAGTGAAACTGTTGTACTCAGCATTTACAATATTATAATGAGTCTCTTCAGTCAGATAATATTCTCATTAAAAAATCATTACTAAGGTTGATGAAGTGGTGCTTAATTTGTTTGGTTGTTTTATAAAATATGAATAAAACTGGTGCTTGAAAATAAATTGCTGGTGTCAGGTATGAATATCACTCCTACTTTCTAACACAGAGTGACAAAGCACAACCTAAAAAAGGAAAATCTGCTAAACAAACTAGTACTCTGAATGCGGCGACATTAGATCTTATTCCTCTCCGGATTACAGACTGATCAGGTTAGTAGACGTGAGCATGCTTTGTGTGGTTTAATGATATTAGATTTCAGGATTTATGGGTACTGACGTCAGATGGTTACTTCACAGCACAATTTAGAAAAGCAAACCTAGCCTGCTGTGCCTAACAGTCTTTCTAACAAATGCTCTGAAGGCGTCTTAACGATTAATGATAGACGGCAGAACACCCTGACTACAACTAACAGTCATAATTCCACCCAACTTTCTATGCTCGCTTGGGTGGAGTGCAGTTACCAAAACAACAGGCAGGTAGCAGCACTGAGCACAGTAGGAGAGACAAAAGTTCTGCAACAACTTTTTTCTTTTGTGTGTGTGTGTGAGAGAGAGAGAGACAGACACAGAGAGACAGAGAGAAAGAGAGACCTGTCCACATCATCACAACAATGCGTCAAGTGAACTGTTAATCCTCCATCTGGAGGTCTGAGCAGAGGAGAGGCCAGCAAGGAGAGGAAGAGGGAAGTCTAGACGATAGCATTCCTCCCTTCCTGCCATCCATCTCTTTGATTAAGAATCTGTTTCGTAACAGGCCTCTTCATTATTACAATGAACTCATGTTTATTCCGATGTTTTTTTTCTGATTACTGATCAGTAATCTGCTACTTAAAGTCTCCAATCTGACATAATGCATTATTGTTTTTCCAGGGTTTGCTGAGTGAAACCATGTTTCATTATTCGATGCACTAAACATCTTGCTGCAATCATTGATAAAACAAAGTGCACTTCTCAAAACTGAAGTAGCTTACAAAAGAGGTTATAAAACAAATGAGTATTAAAAACTAAACTGAGGAGAGCAAACTAGCTTTGCAGCCTGAACTTCTAAACCGACTCGTATTCAGTTCATTTCGGACAGCATTAGTAGTTTCTGTCTTCCTGTCTCACCTCATTAAAACCTATTTTTCACATTCTCATTTACAAACAAGAAAAGGGCCAAATTTTGATATAATGGCCCTTTTCATGTTTGCTTCCTTCATTTTTTAAAACCCTAACACTTTGTTAACATTCAGCCAGTTATCCAGAAGCGAGGAAACACACAAATAATAAAACTGTCCTTTAATTGCAAGGTGCACAGCCAACAGGGTGAAATTTCCCCTCAATTAAAACAAGGGAAACGTTAGAGAGAGAGAGAGTGAGAGCAATAAGTCAGAGGATGGAATTCATAATATCCTGTCTGCCTCATCTGACTTTATTTCAGCTAACCTTCATTTAATCAGGTGGTCTGGCTCAAATTAAAAAAGTATTTGC